TAAAGTGAATTTTGCGACCCATTTACCGACGGCTGTTAATCATATTGAGAGTTGCAATCTTCGGCCATAATGCATCGTTTGTGAGCTGCTATTCTGCTGTTTGCATATTCAGATTTATTCCCTGTGAATGCAAGATGTTTATTCTGAATATGTACTATCAAGATAAGGCGGACGTCTTTGCTTACCTGCATAAACAGTTCCCTATTTCTATTCAAACAGATATGCGAGTACTTGATGCAGATTTACTAAAAATGCTCGCAACTTCCGATATTGCCGTTTTATGTTAACTGACACAGTGAATTGCTTGGGTATAAATTTGGGCGTGGACACTTTTAGCTTTCATTTGGTGTCCATGTAGTCAGATAGTTTCTGAATCATTAACAATTCACGATCATGCTTAAGAAGTCTGCTTGGGAACTATAAAAGTGAGTGAAGATCAGTCCTATTTAGGGAAGGACAAATATCAATGGGCTTTTTTAAAACCACTAAACCTGCCTCCCACTTTTAAAAACGTGGTCTATGCCCTATACCCTATTAACGAAATGCATCTATTCGTTGCGTGCTATTACTTAACTTTCCTTGCGCTAATTATCGCTGATAAGTTTCATTTTTTACAAAGGACACATAAAAACGTACTTTCCCATAGTCATCAGCTGTAGGTGTTCGTTCATTTCGTCGAACGTCGGTCTGTGTTCCGGTTTTTCGGACCAAGCTCGCTGCATGATTTCCAGATAGGCCGGTGGTATATCCGTCTTGGAAATCTAGAAATCACGGAACAAATAAGCCAACCAAAGAACAACAGGTATTCAGTGCCGAATGCCAGTAAACGGGCAAAAGAGCAATTGCAATTGACATATCAGATCGAGTTGTAGGCGCCTTGCAAAACCTTGCATCTACAACACCTTCTGATATTTAAAGTTCCTATTGCCAAGCAAATGTTTCTGAGATAATGCCTCGACAGTCAACGCTATTACTCATTTACCGGTTTTAAGGGCCATCCACAAAGTAGTTATCCATCTTGACGTTAAAATGTGAACCCTTAACTAAACAAGTGACAAGCTTTTCATTTAAATAAACTATCCGTACAAGCTGAGGTAGGTAAGAAGGAGCTAAATAACAAAATGTGGTGATTTCATTAGCAATTATTGTTAAAATGCAACAAGTAAACAGCAATCCCTGAGTGACGAGTCAGTTTGGCTTCGCTGGCCGTTAGAACATGTGACGCGTGAGACTAACGAGCTCTGAAACACTTGTGCTCGACTACTACAACTACTGTTCCGATAGCGAATTTTTGTATTGCGTGTTCACGTTAAGTTTATGATGGCGGCGAAGATAACATAATGCAGATCCAGCTACTGCCTTATTACAGAATGTCAAAGGTCCTGGCTTGGAAGACTAACTATCGGCAGTATTCTCCCCACGCACCGACGAATTGTTTAACCCTGTGCCGGATCCAACCCGCCGTCTTGGCAACTTTGCGGTAAAACCGGGCTCTGGTCGGTGAGGGAGAAGGAGAATGCGATAAATGCACCACTGTCTTACTGCTGCCTGGGTTCGCATCTTTAGAGATCAGCCATCTAACAATGATCAGAGTCCGGCCGGGCGGGCAGGGTCCAGTTCGATCAGATGTCCGAGTCTATCAGAGGAGAAAGGCCTTAGCATGCATGTGTTCGCATGCGCATTCACACAGGGTTTGTTTGCGTCCACCGCGAAATTCTGGGACCTTCCCCTGTTTTTAGTGCAGAAGGACATTCCTACCTGTGGACGAAAGAGAGGATCACCCGCCCAGACCTTGTTGACTATCCCCTCCGCAGGTGTGTCCGGTAGCCCATAGGGAGTTGTGCGGAAGAATATCTCGTGCACTATGATGGCAAAATTGTACACATCGCCCCGCTGTTTTCCGACGAAGGCTGTAGTCTCGTCCAGCAGTAGCTCGGGTGCAGTCCACAACTGGTCTAAAATTTGTGAAACAGTAAGAGAGCAAACTCAACCCTTTTGTTCCGAAATACAGCTAAGCCTGTTCAAATAAAAAAAATAATGAGGACAACATGTGTTCTTAAAAAAAGCCTGGACACTTGATAAAGTCAAACAGGAGTTTTGAGAGTATATACAGACTCGTTTCCAAGATGACAGCATTGGCAATTCGTATAGAAGTTAATAGCAGTCCAGTCGAGCCTTTTCATTTTCCTCTATTTCTGGTAGTACATTGCAGGAGTTCATAAACAGTGTATAACTGTACCATTAAAAGTGGCCTTGAACGTTCAACCAGTTGCCCACATCTAATTACTTGATGATCTCTTTCTTTACTCATTTCTTTACTCATTTCTTTACTCATTTCTCAGGGAATACATTTAGTTTGCCGCTGGACAAAATGACGATAAAAATCATCAACATCATGTCACCTCTCAACTTGGGCTCCTTTTACACGGAATTGGGAGGTGACTTGCGTATCCTTATGGCAACTTCCAGCAGTATTCTAGTTCTTTCCTAAAAATGATCTGCTTTAGTTTCGGTTTCGGTATTTGCCGGGCGGAAGCCGGATTGACAAAAAATATCAGGGTTTTCTGTTTGATAAATAAACCTAAGTCAGCTATTAGCATTCCGTGAATATACTTTACCTTGTCAAATAAGCTAATTTCGTTTATTATTTAAACAGACCTTAGATATTTGCTCACCCTCGGGCATTTCTGCCGAAGAGTTGTTGAATAGGACATACATTTTGGGTATGCCAAAATCCGTAATCTTTAACACCCAGCGGCTGTCAATAACACAGTTTCTGGACTTCAGCCTCCCATGGACTCGGACGTTAGTAAAAATAAACAAACAGGAGCAAGCAAGTTATTCAGACGCATACATTTTTGGTGGTCAGTGAACAGATAAAAACACAAAATTATATTTTTTAAGATAACACTTACAGTAAAACAATGAAAATTCGATTCCCATGTGGTAAATCAGAAGGAAACCAGGTAAGGTTTACTTTTTTGACGTTTCGAATAGTTGTCTCGTCACAAGAGAAGTCGTATATTTACGCTATACCGACGGATAAAAGCCCACTGCAGCACGCCAGCTCCCGAACGAGACGAAGTCAAGCTTCTCTGGCAGGTGTTCAGAGCTAACGGCTATCCACGAGCATTCACTGGACGAAATCTTATGTCACGGAAAACGCGTACCGAGGGACGTTGCCCACCGCAGTCATGTGGAAGCATCTCGTACGTGAAAGGAGTTTCCAAAAGGTAGCCAGATCTCTCGCGACACTCGAAATAGTAGTAGTTCACATGACTGTCGCCCTGATCCGTTAGCATGTTATGCTGCAGGAAAACCCTATCCCGAAAC